TAGTGAGTGCACCTGTACCCACTGTCAAATCAAGGGGCATACCGTGAAGAAATGTCATGTTAGAAAAATGGACGAGGAGGATGGGGTAATTACGTCAAGCATAGAGGGAGAAGTGTACGATAAGCGAGGCACTCTCATTGACCCAAACATCCCTGGAGGCACAAGGAAGGAGGCGCTAAGGGTTGCGGGGTTAGGACCGAGTGCCCCCGTTATGTTTCGAATCTGGCAGGAAATGGAAGACTCTTTTATTAAGGTAGAAGATGTGACCGAGTTAGGAGAAAAGCTGAAGAAATGACTAAAGATAGGCCAGGAAGAAGAGGATGCTCCGTTGATCGAGCTTCAACCAAGAGAGGACGAAGTAGTCAGGGAGTCGGCAAAAGATACCATAGAGAGGATGAAAGACCTGATAGGTAAGATAGGAAGGCTGAATACCCGAATGATGGGTATATGTGAGGAAATCAAAATCATGGAGTTAAGAGCCCTGCACGTATTTACTGTGGGTCAGGGAAGTGGGGAAAAAAGACCTCGAGAACCCAATCCAAGGGCGCTAAGGGCGAGTTTGGCGGCAGGACCCGAGGCAACTTACCAAACCCTGAGGAGTTTCGTGCCATACACTGCTCGGCGAACTAAAGGAAGCAATGCGACTAAGGAAAAGGAGCAGGCTCCGCCTCCTCCTCTTGGTGAACCCTCTATTAACATAGGCGAAGAGGAAGAAGATCAGGATGAACAACTGAGAGAAGAAGAAGATAAGCGCGCTGAGCAGAGAGTCAAGAAACGGAAGCAGAGGGTTAAGGAAGGGAAAGAGAAGGCCGGGGAAAAGTCAAAGAAAAAGTGGAAGTATCAGACATCTATTGAAGAGGGGGTAGACCTTGAAAATTTGGTAAATAAGCTTCTCGACGGATATAACGATCTGCTGAATTTGAAGGAGATTTTGGCAACGGTCCTAAAGCTCAGACAACTAGTTAAAACAAAACTGACACGAAAGAGAGTGGCAACAGTAAGGTTGGGGGATTTGATTCCCAAAGAGGCAAACTGGACCATCGCAGGGAGCAAAATGGATTGGAAGTCCGTTGGGACAGGTTCTATTGAGGTTAATATTAGAGGAAGGGGATGCCCTTCAATGGTAGATACCGGGGCGGAAATGAATATTATGAATTCGGAGACGGCTGAGAGATTGGGATTGAAAGTTGATAAGAGCGACTTCGGATTCCTCAATGGAGCTAGTGGGAAGTCAGGCTATACAGGTGTCGCCTCAAACGTCATCGTGGAAGTAGGGCGGATTAAGGTCCGTTCCTGCTTCTACATTATGCCGAGTCTGGATCTTCCTATATTATTGGGGAGGTCATTCCTGTCGAGATCAGAAGCTCTCATCATGAATAAGCATGATGGAACTATGTACGTAATATTGTGCGACCCAGTGTGGGGGAATTTCGAAGTACTTACATGTAAGAATACGGGACCCCACTGCTCAAAGAATTGCCTCAACGCAGGGTCATACACGTTTGAAGAATCCGAGGGCATGAGAAGAGAATTAAAATGGGGATCAGATGAGGATGAAGAAGATGAAGAGGACGAGGGACTGGTTCTAGTGTATAGGCCACCCCCGCGAGGTGTAAAAATGTAGGGACCATATGACCAATCAAGCGGTCAACATTTTTTAGGGGTGGGCTCAAGCAAGGAAGCAAAAGGAGGTACAAGACAATAGATAAGAAGAGTCGTTCAGTCCCAGTATTAGTAACGCACGAAGAGAGTGTGTACTATGAGCAGGAGAAAGAATTGATAAGACAAATAAAAGAAAAGTGGGATGAAGAGGTATGCCATATCAATGGGGAGACGGAAAAGGACCTGATTATTGGGGAACCCGGGTTTCTGACTGAGCAGGAAAGGGCGCCGGTGGTAAGTTTAATGAGGAAGAAACATTGTGCTTATGCCTTTAATGATGATCATAGAGGGAGGTTAGATGTGGACAAGGTAGGGATGATCAGGATCCATACTGTCCCGCATCAGCCTTGGAATATTGAAGGAGTCAGGTACCCAAATCCTGATGATCAGAGGAGAGTGGTGGAATATCTCGATGGGAAGATTGACTCACATGTGGCTGGGTTTTCTAGTGAGCCATATTCCTCACCATGATTATGCTTTATTAAACCAAACGGGGTACTCACGTAGGTGCAGGACTTGCAGAGACTAAATGTCGTGATTGTTAGGGATGCTGGAGGGCTCCCTAACGCTGATCAGTTTTCCGAAGCGTGTGCAGAAAGGTCTATTATTTCTCTTATAGACCTCTACTCTGGTTATGACCAGTTTCCAGTTTATCCGGCTGATAGGCCGATAACTGCAATGCACACTCCTAGGGGATTGATCCACATGAACGTAGCACCTCAAGGGTGGACTAATGCGGTAGCCATGGTCCAGATGAGTATGGTCAGGGTAATGCAACCGATTAGTCCTCATATCACTGAGCCCTATATCGACGATCTTGCAGTGAAAGGGCCGATGATAAAAGATGAACAAGAAGTTGCGCCTAACATTCGAAAGTTCATCTGGGATCATGTCAATGATCTAAGGAAGGTGCTTGATCTCCTGCAAAAACATAACCTCACGGCGAGCGGTGCAAAATCCAGACATTGCATGAGAGAGGCGACCATTCTCGGGTTTATGTATACTGAGCAGGGTCGTCATCTGGATACCAAGAAAACAAACAAAATTATTGAGTGACCGACACCATTCAAGAATATAGGTGAGGTGAGGTGTTTTCTTGGGACATGTGGGTTATGGAGGATATTTATTAAGAGGTTCGCCGCTAAGACTCAGCACGTAAGAAAATTGGTAAGGAAGAATCAAGAATGAGAGTGGGGAGAGAAGCAAGAGCAGGTGGTGAGAGATTTAAAGAAAGAATTTGAGGAAGGAGGTCTGTTACTGGGGGTTCCGGACTACGAAGCAATCTTGGAACGTCCCTTCATAATAGAAACAGATGCCGGACCCACTGCCTTGGGAGGAGCCTTGATAAAGACAGACCATGAGGGTAAGGAAAGACCATTGCGCTTTCAGAGCCGAACTCTCAATTCGACTGAAAGGAATTACTCCCAATTCAAGAAGGAGGTCTTGGCGGTTCTACACTGCCTACGGATCTTCAGACATTATCTCTTTGGGAGAAGATTCATTCTAAGGGTAGATCCAACCGCCCTTGTGTATTCCCTTAGGAACTTCTCTCTAGCTGATCCTACAGTTGCCAGATGGCTCACCTACATCTGGATGTTCGATTTTCAGTTGGAGCACATTCCGGGGAATAAGGACAGAGCAGATGGGTTAGAGCAGAATAGAGTGAGAGAAGCCTGAAGAAGCTAAGGAAGAGGCTCCGCCGGTAGATGGATTCTTGGAAGAAGATGACATGCAGCTCCATGTTAACGCATGGGCCTTAAGAATCAATGATAATGAGGTGCGAGAAGGAAGACCTATGTGGTATGCACCAGCGACTTTTGTGAAGGATGAAAGGTTGGTATTAAAGCCTTTCGTCGAAGAGGACCCGTGGGGAGAAGGAAGTGGGGAATGAATGACGGAGTTAACTTTAGCTGAAAGTTACAGGTTGACGGACTAACCTGTTACAATTCAGACAGGAACGGCGCAGGTGGACAGACATTTATTGACAGTGGGGAGAGTACATTACCTTGTGAACTCTCTCCTGCAAGTCCGAACCGAAGAAGAAAGAGGAACAGTTAAGGCGGATGAAATAGTATTGGGAGACGACCTCGCATTTGATGAGGAAAGAGAGAGAGAGGAATTTGAGCAAGGTAAAATCTCGGATGATTTCCGGGAGGAAGAGTACGATGGGTTCCATCTAGAAATGAGACTTCTTCTCTCAAGCGACAAGCGAGAAAGGGGAGTTGGTGAGAAAACTCTTCGCATGAGGGACCATTATGTAGTGAGGGGTGACCATCTCTTCATCAGGGATAAAAGAGGATCTCCTAGAAGGGTTATCTGTGGCAGAAATCGACAGATTGATCTCATAGCGGCCCTCCATGATGGACCTGTTGGTGGTCACAAAGGTTTTGCCGTTACCCTCAAGAAAGTGACTGAACTGTACTTTTGGGAAGGTATGTACGGGATGGTTAGAAAGTACTGTGAGTCATGCGTGTCGTGCCAGGTCAGATCGCCGATCAGGTATAAAGAACCTCTTCACCCGAGGTATATCAAGGATGTGGGAGCAGTTGTCTACTTGGACTTGTTAGCAATGCCACAGGGGCTTGACGGGTACAATTACATCTTTGATGCCAGAGACAACCTCACAAGATTTGTTGATGGAAAGGTCATCCGGACCAAGACTGGAGCAGTCTTGGCCGAATGCGTCAAGGAATATTACCTCCGGTATCCTTTCGTGGTGGAATTGACGATCGATAGAGGGTCGAAATTCACATGTGGGGAGGTAAAAGAGTTATTGGATGATCTTGGAGTAATCGCCAAGTACACCAACAGGGCACATCGTAAGGCTAACGCACCGGTGGAAAGAGGGCACAGCACCATCACGAACTTACTAGCAAAATGGACAGCGGGGAAACCAAACTTATGACCTAAGTTCCCACAGACTGTATTCTTCGTCGAAAACATCACGGTCAGGAGAACCACGGAGTATGCTCCTACAACCTTATGGTATGGGAGACACGCCACCTTTCCAATAGAAAGCTTCCGGAAAACCTGGCGGAGACGGGATCTTGAAAACGACCTGCCACTTGAGGAATTACTCGACATCCGAGCCAGAAAGCTTAGTGTCACAGAGGAAAGGATTCAAGAAGCGATTGAGAAAGTGGTTGACAGTCGGGGAAAAGACAAGGAAAGATGGGACCGGCTTCCTCGCGTACGAACAAAACCATTGGCCATCGGGGACGTAGTGCTGTTGTATGACTCATCCCTAGAGAAACAATGGTCAAGGAAGTTAGATAAGATATGGTTGGGGCTGTACAAGGTTCGACGTCAAGGGAATCATGGGGCATATGAGCTGGAGGAGATGGATAGAACGCCAAGGCGAGATTGGGTTTCTGGATCCAGGTTGAAGAAATTCAAAACAAGAAATGAGGTGAGTCAGTAACTTGAAGATAAGTCAATTCCTTCCTCTCTAAAACACCTTATAATTGCATCATTGCGAACCTGGTATTGTTACCCGGCTGCTAACACCCTTTTGCACCTGCCACTTTCCTTGTCCTTTTCTGTGTGCAGGCTTAATCCTGTAAAAAAGAGCGGCGATGATACGAAAGGGAGGGGTGGCGGGGCCTTCCAGGCCAACCTCTGGCAGAGAACGGCGGCAGGGATTACGGCGGGTAACCAAGGACGTGGATGGAATGCCGATCTACAAGAAGGGGGACAATTTGAGGTTGTTCCTGAGGGAGTTCGAGGATTATGCCTTCAGGAGGGAGTGGGACACCCCTACCATGCTGCTCAAAGTGATAGGAGTGGGGGAGTGTCAATTAAAGATTGAAGAGATCACCACTGACTGTCTGGGGTGGATGACCTTCAAAACGGAGATGTGGGCTGAATATAGGGATCTGAGGAGAGACGAGATTGAGGATGATATAATCTTCAATGAGACTAATGTGGAGGATTTTGAGGACAACATTGCTCTGTGTGCAAAGAAGAAAAGGTGGAAGGAAGAGGAGAAGCTGGAACAGGTAATGACAAGAGTGGACCCCAGGGAATATGAGAGTGTGAGGAAGATCAAGGAAGAATTAGATACCTGGGGAAGATTTCTTGTCAAGTTTAAAAGCACCTACACCCTGACCGTGCAGAGACAAAAGAGAAGGTAGTTACTTCAAGAGGAGGGATTGTGGATAAGAAGAAGAGGAGAGAGGCTGGAGAAAAAGGGTCAGCAAGAAATTGATGAAGATGATGTGCCCCTGAAACAAGTACTTGACAGGAAGAGGACAACAACTTAGAGAGGGAATGGGTCAACAAGAAAGACCACAAGAGTGCAAGAAAAGGGAAGGAGCAGGGAGAAGGAGCAAAGCAAGGAAAAAGAAGAAGAGAGTGAGCAAGACAAAGATAGTGAAGAAGAAAGGAAGAAGGAAGTGGAGGAGGTAGCAAAAGAGAAGGAGGAAGCAAAAGAGAATGAGAAGAAGAAAGATGAGGAAAATCAAACAAAGAGAGAGGCAGAAATGACAGCAGCTGATTATCCTCTCAGGGGACCAGAATCAAGGAGGATGACCAAGGAGGAGAGAGAAAAGAGAGAGGAAGAAAATAAGGAATGGAGGAACAAAATGGTCGCTTCAATGAAAGAAGATGAGTTATCTGCAGATGCCTCTTGAAGTGGGAAGATTGAGAGAATCCTGTTGACTGAATCAATCAAGGGCTCTAAGCTGGCGTCAGACATGGACAGGCTGATCAGGCTACATGAATTGCTTCGGGATGACTGTGAGTGACTCCTTGAGAGAGGAGCCGAGATAGCTGAGAAATTAGAGGGAGCAGGAAAGAATCAGAGAGGGAATGACGAGGATGAGAAGTTTGAAACTTCAATGAGAGAACTCCAAAAGAGGGTAAAACAGAAGGAGGAATTACTCATTCAAGGAGTAGCAAGCCACATCCCTGAAGTTCCAGAAGAGATCCAAAGATTGAGGAAGAGGGAAGAAAGCAGGGATGCACAGGTGAAAAAGAAGGGAAAAGAAGTAGAGAGTATGAGGGCTGCAATAAGTAGAGTAAAGGAGGAGTAACAAGGGCTGAAGAAGCAAGTGGAATCGCTGAACATTACCTTAGATAACAAAAACACGGAGGTGGAAAAAGAGAGGATTGAGCGAGAAAAATTGGAGAAGGAAGTTGGCAAGCTGGAAGGGAAGGTCAGTGAACAAGAAAAATAAATGGAGCTTGTAAAGGAAGGAAGAAAGAAGGAGGACAAAAATTGGGAAGATAAGTGGAAGGCAATGGAGAAGAAGGTTGAGAGTCTCAGTATGGTTGCTCAAGGGGAAGGAGCGGAAACGCCTACAAAGATAATTGAATGGAACATTACAAGGAATGTTACAAAGATACTTCATGCATCTGGGCAAGGCTCAGAAAGAGTAAGCAAAGAAGTGTTGGCACTAAGAAAAGAGAACAGTGATCCGCCCACTATCATCCCAACTTTCTGTTAACAAGCTGGATGAGCTAAGGACATCTAACACTGTTACAAAGTCTTCCAATGAAGGCGGGTCTGAGGATAGTAAAAAGAGACCTTGTTCTGAGATGGTGGAAGCAGGTGGAGAAAAGGAGATGACACTACCACATCATTCTATCAAAAAAACAAGAAGTGAGGATAAAAAGTTGTGTTGGTATTCCATGAAGGGGATGCATCTGAGGGAGGAATGCGCAGGGTTTAAGTTTGACAAGGAAAAAAGTTTGGTAAGGTTGGATGAGAACAAAAAGCTTATTGACAGGGAAAAAAACCCTGTTAAGAAAACCAAGGATGGGTTCAGAGCTCAGTTATATAGACAGCCGAACCTTAGCATGATGGACTGGGAGGGGGGGGAAGTATGTGCCTTGACCTTCTATGTTCTCTACAACCATTCACGCTTCTTTTTCTTAGCAAGACTTTGTACACTATGGGTAGGAAATGTAAAGTAGGTAGGGTCTCTTTTCCTGAGACATAAGAATGTACATTCGCAGTTGAAGAGAGTCAACAAGTTTTGAAACCTTTGTCTTGATATAGGATTAGCTCGGCATATGTGCATTAGTGAGGAGGGACAAAGAGACATGTAGCTCGTACCTCATCTATCGTTTTTTCCTTTTCCTCTTTTAGGAGGAAGATTGTTTTCTTTACTTTGTCTTCCTTCTCTTGAGTCATGTATTATGAATTTTTATGGGGTATGCCGACGAGGAACACTTTCACATTCACAACTGAGTTGGTCCAATGTCTGGTCTTGTTTGGTGAAACGTGTATCTTGGATTTGTGTACAAACAGAGCAATCAAGTCTTGAACTAGGATGCTCATAAAAGCGCCTAAGTGTTCAAGAAAGATAGGGTGAAATGTGACATGTACGGTCTGAATGTGCTTTGACATTGTTGATTATTCTTCTTTCATGCTTTATCTTATATTGTTATTATTGAGAAAGATCCTAAAAAGGTGGTGTGAAAGAGTTAAAAGCTTTGATGCATCTGAGAAACCCTGCGAGTCAGGGAAATATATGTTATGAATGAACTGTTTGTTCTTTTTCTGCCTTCTGACAAGACAAAAAGTCAAACAAATATTTTTTATGTTTTTTTTTTTGGATAATTTGGTTCGCCTTTCCTATTGGTTGAAGATCCCCGAGACGTGTGTCTGTCCATCCTGTGATCGAGGTCTGGGCGTCACTACCCCTAAGTGGCTCTGACGATACCCCTCGTTCAGTGACAATGTGACAATCATGATATATCAAATTTATTGGTATAAATTTTTCATATATATACTTCCAAAGAGGTTCATTCATTCAAACTGACGAGGGGATGAGATTCTTTGGTCAAATTGTTTTTATATATATTTGAAATGATCGTCGTTCATCCACTTTAGGCGGTCAGTCTGAGAGACTTGAAATTACCAAGCCTGTGGTGGAAAATTGGCATCGTTGGGACGTAACTCCCAGCGTGGGCTGCTGACCAAGTATAACCAGGCAGCGGACCTTCCGATTACGGCATAGAACTGAAACCTGAGGGGGGACCTCCTTAATGATGGAATTGGTTCAGGTAGATATCGGAGGGATCAAGAGTCACGTTTCGATTGATAGGAGGATTTCACCCAATATTGCGTAACCAATACGAGAACCATCGCTAAAATAACAACGTGGTGGGCCGCAGTTTCGGCCTCATCAACCGGCTGCGGTGGGTTGAGTCCAAGCTCGCCGATCCCCTCGCATTAGATTTCGGGTGGGACGATAAAATTTGACTTAGGTCAAGACCCGCGTCCAAAGAGTGGGATTCGATGTTAATTCCTAACTCCTCAGGACACCCAACGAGATCCTGGCAAATAAAGTCTAAAGTAGGGGGAAGGAGCTATTGATGTCTTCCTTCGTGACCTCCGCAACTGTAGTACAGATCCAGTATGCCCACTTGGGTTATATGGATTAATCTTTCTTGGGAATTGTCATTTTTGGATATGTGGGAGACCCAGGTTAAAATCCTGGCAGTATGGACGCACCAAGGAGGACAATGAGGGTCTCCAAACCGCAACTTCATCCAGGGGATCGTATTTTGACGACTTGTCGCGTCAGAAGGTTTTTCTTTACATTTAGACTCCCCAGCCACGGCGACGTCGCTTAATGAGGTCAGGGAAAATTGTCGCAGCTGAAACCCTTATAAGGGTATCCGCTCATGATTTTCTAGTCGACACAACGTCGGCACCAACAAACAGGCTGAAGACGGCTAAAAACAAGAAATGAGGCAAATCCCTCAATTGTTATGATCGAGGAAGTTTTGTCAGCGCAAGCGCCGAAACACGGCGCGCACAAACTAGAGTCGATGGTCAATTTTTTTTGAATAATCGCCTGCCTTGTCGTGGCAAACGCCGAGGACGCAAAGATTAGGGGATTGAAATTTTGAATAACCACGCGTGCCCCTTTGATCCGCGCGAAGACTGGAGAAGGATTAATAAATTAAACCGCCGACGACAGAGGCCGGAAGGTTAGTCTAACGGAAAGGGAGTCGCACAGGATGCGGCGACGGCACACCAAGTCAGTACACTCCGGCTAAAGCAACGAAGTACGAGCATGCCTTATGACCAGGGCAGCCGAGAGGGACCTGCTGCCTACTATACTAGACAACGACGACTGGTAAAAGACCCAAACCAACCTTAAAAAACTGATTGTGGCCCTATTACACCAATAAGCCCGCTCTGTAGTCTACTTATAGCAAGGTTGCTCCTAATCTAATTGAACTAGCAGCTAGCCCAATAGGTACAGATACGGACTGATATGCTAGGGATTTAGTGATCAAGTCCATCCTGCCTCGGGCTAGCTTTTTTTGCAGCCCGCCCGACCACCACTTCGAGCTACCCTGAGGAGATAGGACTCGAACCTGTGACCTCAAATTCGAGAGTTGTTACGGTTAAGCCCGTTGTGACAGTTGGCATAACGGGGTAGTTAGCAGTTAGAGTCTCTCTTTTGTTTTTATTTTTATTTGTCAGTTGGGCACCGTGGATTATCTCCGCTGCATCACCTTTCATAGATTTACCTCCTAATCCCGGGTAGGTTCAACGAAAGTAATATGAACCACATGTCGGGAGAAGGAAGCCGGAGGAGTAAGGGGCTAGGCGAAAAGTACAGCAGCAAGCGCACGACCCAGTAAGCGAGAAAACAGACTAAGTAGGGAGTCGGGGTGCAGGCGTGAGCATTCGTGAATGCGCAAGCGAACGCGAGAACAGCGGATGCTAGCGTGGGCCTTTGTAGACATACGAGTAAGCACGAACGAGTGGTTTGTGCTATCGTGCGAGCAAACAGACAAGGGAAGCTAGTAGGGAAGGAGAAGGGAGAAGTGAAGGAAGGGGAGAAGAAGAGCGAGAAGGGGGTGAGAAGGAAGGAAAAACTTGGATGAGGGAAAGGAGAGTGAGCTCGACGGTAACTGAAGGAGAGAGGAAGGGACTAAACCAGGAAAGGAGGAAGGAGAGAGAGAAAGACGAAGAAGAAGAAGTAGACAAGGGGGAAGAAGAAGCAGGAAAAAAGGGAGGAGGAAAAACTACTTACCCGATCCTGCAGATAAGTGGAGGCAGCATTCCACTCTCGTAGATAGGGGAGGCGGAGTTGACATCCCCTAGGATCGGCTTCGGCGCACTCATTCCATAAGGGGTGGTTGCGGGTTGACGTGATTTTTGTTTTCAAGGCCGCCCTCACACGACGAAGCCTTCCAACGGGATAAAGAAGTGCCGAGACTCGGGTGAAAACTCAACATTTTGTCGCCATCCGAGGAGCATTGTGGGCGGCGCACCGGCTAAGTCTCCAATCTGCACCTCACCGCACGCTACCAGGATCGATAGAATGAGCAAATCAAAAGGTGACAGTGTATGTTTCCACGTTTCAGCATAAGATTCATTTCGTACTGGCTCGTCCTATCGATGGACTGTCTGTGTGTGTGTGTGTGTGTGTGTGTGTGTGTGTGTGTGTGTGTGTGTGAGCATGTCTGTATATGCTCATACGTATGAAGGATGTGGTATATGTGAGTACTCCCGCCCCCCGACTCTCTCATGCTATCCCGTTGATCGGGCAAGCCAACCGAATGGGTCTACCTTTTTGGAACGTGAAAATATACATTGTCGAACTCGTGTGTTTGAGCATGTATGGGAAAGTGTGTGTGTGTGAGGTACACGGTTCGTTATACATTCGCCAAAAGGGTGAGCTAAATGAATCTGCCGTTGAGGTTAGTGAAGATGCAATGCTGCTTGGGGGTGTATGAGTATGGAAGCGTGGAAAGGGGAGAAAGACTTGCCATGATTACGAATGACTATAGTCGCGATAGTCAGGTGCTCAAACACCCCTCATATGACACGCTTCACTCCAATTGCATCAGGCCCGAAAAATCACTAGTATACGTTTTACTCTATCTGTTCTATTATCATTATTATTATTTATTATTATTATTATTATTATTATTACTATTATTATTATTACTATTATTTATCATTGTTATTATGAATGTTACTAGTATTTCTATTAGTAGTGATGGATTCACGATCAACTTCAAGAGTGCCATTTGATTCGTTTGTTCGAAAACGAGAGTCAACAGATGTGCAAAATAGGTGGGAGAAAGGAGGGATCTCGGATGTGAGCAGCAGCCAACGCTAGAGAGAGCATGTGCTAGCAAACACGATCTTATAGAGTGCAAAGGCAGTGCGGTCGTGAAGATAAGGCCGGGGGGACAAGAGCAAGTATAGGAGGGGGATAAGTATAAAGAAGTGATAAAGGAAAAAAGGGAAGGGAGAAAGGTAAAAAGGAGAAGAGGAAAAAGGAGAAGAAGAAGGAGGCGAAGAAGAGAAAGAGGGAAAGGTGAGAGAAAGAAAGACGACTAAGTCTCCCACCCGCTGCTCGACGCGCACTGCTGTGATCGATAGAACGAGGCAAATCATAAAGTGGCAGTGCATATTTCCCCGTTTCGACAGAAGATTCATTCCGATTTTTCTCGTCCTATCGATGGAATGTGTGTGTGTGAGACGGTCATGATTCGACCAAGGACAGAGAGAGAGAGGCGGCAAGTCTCCAGTCTTGGCCAGTAGCTAAGTCTCCCTCCCGCACCGCTGCCGCACGTTGCTAGATCGATAGGATGAGCAAATCGAAAGTGACAGTGTATATTTCCGCGATGGAATGGGTACATGAGTGTGTGAGTACGCGGGAGAAAGAGCGAGGGAGACGGAGAGAGAGAAGTAGAGAGAGAGGGGGAGGGAGGAAGGAAGAGAGGGTGTGTGTGACGATCCCTGGGT